TACACAAGCCCCCTAAATCATCCTGGTCCTCAGTAATAAAACCATTCACTCTGATCAAAATTCATACCACACCGCTGATAGCATCATCCGAATTGCAAAAATGATGTACAATTTTCATAAATATTTTTTTTGTCTTCAAATCTTTATTATTCTTTTTTTACACATGTATCGTTTACGCGTATTTTTTTCACATCATCGTCACAAAATATTTTCCGAAATTCGTGTAAAACCAATTACATGATTGTGACACTTTTACAATGTCTTATCTAAGCGAGTGTTAAACGGTGATCCGTGCTTAAAGTGTTATGAGAAATACCTATGAGTCGCAAAATTATAGATATATAAAACAGCATCGCCCTAGAATTAAAGTCAACCTTACGTTACTAAGATATCTATGACTTTCTTTAATTTGCAAGATCTGTTTAGTGTATCACCACAACATTCCCATACCCCAGTGGTGTCCCCTGCTGCACGCGTCATTCTAGCCCCGAGTTTCAAACATTTTTATTTTGTTTTTGTGCACACGTTCTACAACAGCAATGTGTTAACACAGGGTCTGGAAGCTTTATCATAATTGACATTTTCGTACCTATTTTAATCCATATCGGTAGCTCGATCAGAAACGATTCCGCTCCGCGGTCCCGAGGTCGATGTCTCTTTATACACATATAATTATGATATATCTTAGGATGGGGTGGCTGAACTTAAGTTACACCCGGGGCGTTGTTTATGAATTGTACAGCAGTATGGCTACACACGATTGAGGTAAACTTCTTCCTCATCTAGAATCCTAGATGTCATCCTATATCTAATATACTCACAGCTATTGACACAGTTGACTGTAAAATCGAGGATTTGCTAGAAAACCCCACAAGAAGCAGGACATGATATACATATGATACATAAATATTGATAAATTTGATCAAATATATCAGCATTTTATTTCTGTTCACAATGAGAGGTTAAAATCGTTTGGAGATGTACGTATTATTATTTTGGTTGAACTGTATTTACCGTCTTTTGTGAGGAATATCGTGAAATAACTGCCATGTGGTTGTTATGATTTACATATTTATGTTCGACTGTCGATTTATTGAGTCTCGTTATATATGTACAGCTATATCACAGCGATACTCTGCCCGTGTACATCACGGTATGACAAGTGGATTACAAACAGCAACACATTAATTCACCTGTTAACTTCTACATAAAGATGATAAGGTTTATGGTAACATATCATTCACGCAGAGTTTGTAACAGTAAGGCCCTACGTTTTGACACAAAACACCTTTGGAGCAATAACTTTTCAATATCTGCACCATCAAATGGAGCTTTGCATATTTGTATAAACTTGTGTAGCTCGCGCACAGTGTGATGCTATCGTATGGACCTGCATTATATGCACTGGTACTCCCTAAAGCTATCACTGATGTGTTTACATATTTGTAACAATGTGGGCATGTCCTTTCATCTCAGCCTCACATCTTACTTACAAAGATGTTTTATCCCTTTGCCTTACCCAGCCTATCTCGAGTCATCGGTAGCCCCATGAACAAGCGTCGGCAGGATATAGACACCAAATCGTACAGTGTCTGATCTGTGTCGGAAAGATTTTTGTCACGATAACGTGATCATTGGAGTTAAAGTCTAGTTTTGAATTTTGCCGACGAATTAAATCCCCATTGCAATCCATAGTTTGCTGGTTGCCTCTCACAGCGTATCCCTATTGCTTTATTTGGCAGATTTGACTTCTGGATTTCTTTTATGCGTGAGACAGATGTGAATCTAAATTGTAAATATGCCAGTGACCTTTAGGTTTTCATGGTAATTCATCATTTATGTTATGATTTTATATTTTGTTAAAATCTATGTATTGAAATAAGACGATGGATGAATTAATTGTCATATTTCTGACAGACGTGATGAAATTAATTCTAAAATTGGGGCTTACATATGTATAAACATATGGGTATTAATACGGTATCGCTTTCTATAGATTTACCGTTTTATGATGACATTTGAGAAATTATCAGTTACGTTTACCTGGAACTGAGACTCACACTGATGTTAAAATGTGAAGTATCACTCAATCCAAAACCTGACCAATGTGTGATGCCATCTACGTACGCTGTGTACCATGGTTTCCGAAATCATACCAAGACACACAAGGACACTCGGCGTAAACCATCCATACGTAAACCATCCATACGTAAACCATCTATACGTAAACCATCAACCACCCATACGTAAACGATCCATATGTAACCCATCCATACGTAAACCATCAACCATCCATACGTAAACCCCCCATACGTAAACCATCCATATGTAAACCATCAACCATCCATACGTAAACCATACATACGAAAACCATACATACGTAAACCATCAACCATCCATACGTAAACAATCCATACGTAAACCATCCATACGTAAACCACCCATATGTAAACCATCCATACGTAAACCATCCATACTTAAACCATCAACCATCCATACGTAAACCATCAACCATCCTAACGTAACCCATCCATACGTAAACCATCAACCATCCATACGAAAACCACCCATACGTAAACCATCAACCATCCATACGTAAACCATCCATACATAAACCACCCATACGTAAACCATACATATGTAAACCATCCATACGTAAACCATCCATACGTAAACCACCCATACGTAAACCATCCATATGTAAACCATCAACCATCCATACGTAAACCATACATACGTAAACCATACATACGTAAACCATCAACCATCCATACGTAAACCATCCATACGTAAACAATCCATACGTAAACCATCCATACGTAAACCACCAACCACCCATACGTAAACCATCAACCATCCATACGTAAACCATCCAGACGTAAACCATCCATACGTAAACCATCCATACGTAAACCCCCAACCCCCCATACGTAACCCATCAACCATCCATACGTAAACCACCACCCACCCATAGGTAAACCATCCAGACGTAAACCATCCATACGTAAACCATCCATACGTAAACCATACATACGTAAACCATCCATACGTAAACCACCCATCCGTAAACCATCCATACGTAAACCATCAACCATCCAAACGTAAACCATCCATCCGTAAACCATCAATACGTAAACCATCCATACGTAAACAATCCATACGTAAACCATCCATACGTAAACCACCCATACGTAAACCATCAACCATCCATACGTAAACCATCAACCATCCATACGTAAAACATCAACCATCCATACGTAAACCATCAACCATCCTAACGTAAACCATCCATACGTAAACCATCAACCATCCATACGTAAACCATCAACCATCCATAGGTAAACCATCCAGACGTAAACCATCCATACGTAAACCATCCATACGTAAACCATCCATACGTAAACCATCCATACGTAAACCATCAACCATCCATACATAAACCATTTATACGTAAACCATCCATACGTAAACCATCCATACGTAAACCATCCATACGTAAACCATTCATACATAAACCATCAACCATCCATACGTAAACCATACATACGTAAACCATCCATACGTAAACCATCAATACGTAAACCATCCATACGTAAACCATCCATACGTAAACCATCCATACCTAAACCATCAACCATCCATGCGTAAACCATCAATACGTAAACCATTCATACATAACCCATCAACCATCCATACGTAAACCATCACCCACCCATAGGTAACCCATCCATACGTAAACCACCAACCATCCTAACGAAACCCATCCATACGTAAACCATCACCCATCCATACGTAAACCATCAACCATCCATACGTAACCATCCATACGTAAACCATCCATACCTAAACCATCAACCATCCATACGTAAACCATCAACCATCCTAACGTAAACCATCCATACGTAAACCATCAACCATCCATAGGTAAACCATCCATACGTAAACCATCCATACGTAAACCATCCATACGTAAACCATAAACCATCCATAGGTAAACCATCCATACGTAAACCATCCGTACATAAACCATCAACCATCCATACGAAAACCATCAATACGTAAACCATCCATACGTAAACCATCCATACGTAAACCATCACCCATCCATACGTAACCATCCATACGTAAACCATCAACCATCCATACGTAAACCATCAACCATCCATACGTAAACCACCAATATGTAAACCATCCATACGTAAACCATCCATACGTAAACCATCCATACGTAAACCATCCATACGTAAACCATCCATACGTAAACCATCCGTACATAAACCATCAACCATCCATACGTAAACCATCCATACGTAAACCATACATACGTAAACCATCCATACGTAAACCACCCATACGTAAACCATCAACCATCCATACGTAAACCATCAACCATCCCCGAGATACGATTCCTGCCTGAACCATCCATACGTTAACCATCTATACGTAAAACATCCATACGTAAACCATCCGTACATAAACCATCAACCATCCATACGTAAACCATCCATACGTAACCCATCCATACGTAAACCATCAACCATCCATACGTAACCATCCATACGTAAACAATCCATACGTAAACCATCAACCATCCATACGTAACCATCCATACGTAAACAATCCATACGTAAACCATCAACCATCCATACGTAAACCATCCATACGTAAAACATCCATACGTAAACCATCCATACGAAAATCAACTTTTAAATAAGAACAGTAGAGTATATCGACGAATGGTAGATTTATGTTGCACGATTCACAACCAGTTAACGATGACGTCACATATGACACTGCTATAAACAACACGGTAATGGTGATAATATGAAGTTTAACATGGTTCGCGGTCGGGTTGGTAAAATTAAATACACTGTAGTTCTTTCAATATTTAGTTTCGAAGTTTAATGGTTTTTGTAAGCGATGACTCAGTTAAAAAAATCATTTTGATTTAAACTTTTTGTATCGACCACAAATTAAAGGTAGACAACAGTACGTCTGAAATGGAGATCAAGATACGATTCCTGCCTGATTCTGACATGGTGATGGAGGTACGATTCCTGCCTGATTCTGACATGGTGATCGAGGTACGATTCCTGCCTGATTGTGTCATGGTGATCGAGGTACGATTCCTGCCTGATTCTGACATGGTGACCGAGATACGATTCCTGCCTGATTCTGACATGGAGATCGAGGTACGATTCCTGCCTGATTCCAATATGGTGATCGATGTACGATTCCTGCCTGATTCTGACATGGAGATCGAGGTACGATTCCTGCCTGATTCCAATATGGTGATCGATGTACGATTCCTGCCTGATTCTGACATGGAGATCGAGGTACGATTCCTGCCTGATTCTGACATGGTGATCGAGGTACGATTCCTGCCTGATTCTAATATGGTGATCGATGTACGATTCCTGCCTGATTCTGACATGGTGATGGAGGTACGATTCCTGCCTGATTCTGTCATTGTGACCGAGGTACGATTCCTGTCTGATTCTGACATGGTGATCGAGGTACGATTCCTGCCTGATTCTAATATGGTGATCGAGGTACGATTCCTGCCTGATTCTGACATGGTGATGGAGGTACGATTCCTGCCTGATTCTGTCATTGTGACCGAGGTACGATTCCTGCCTGATTCTGACATGGTGACCGAGGTACGATTCCTGTCTGATTCTGACATTGGGATCGAGGTACGATTCCTGCCTGATTCTGACATGGTGACCGAGGTACGATTCCTGCCTGATTCTGACATGGTGATCGAGGTACTCAAGTACACAGAGAGTGAGGGAAGAAACTGACGCCTAGGGTCAAAGGTGGTATATCAGAAACCAACATCTTAATGGATTTTTGTTAAGAAATGTATTTAAGACTCTACGTATTTAAAAATGCGCACCTGCTTATAAACATAAGTATGTAGCTAGGTTGGAATTACATCTATAATCTGTGGCAACCTAGAGGAGGCTCAGAACGAGGCTTCCGAATCGTTATCTCTGGGATGAGAGAGGCCGATAGACCGGGGGGTCTCATGCATTAACACAGAACCCGGGGTTGGATGTATGTACCTACACTTAATCCAACTGATAATTAAGTATGTGTTTACATAATTTTGCCAAAAGCCGCATCGTTAACCCATATTTTGTATCGTTCCAACTTATAATTAATTTAAAAAGAACCCCAAAAAGCACAGTCGGCTAAATATAAAATACTTTCGTTTACCCAAGTTCAATAACGCTACGACAACCACGATTCTGCAGTTATCGCCGTTGAAAGACAAGGGAGATAACTGCTATATAGTTATATAGGCTGTGAATGTGACATTGTTCTAGTTCTGTCACAGTAAGAATTGTCGATTCAAACAATTTTCTTTATTTGACAAACGACCTACCTCTTTACAAAACAAATAATGTGAAAGAAAAAGTAAAAAATCATAAAAAACGTCTATACAAACATTCAACGGAAACTGGAGGGGGGATTCAAGGAAAAGACAACATGGTCCTTGAGGAAAAACAAGGATCTCCGAAATGGTAAAACAAGGATTTCTGAAAGGTTAAACAATTTTTTCGGGAGGCTGAACTATCGGAAGAGAAATTAACGCTCTCCGAAAGGGAAAACAAAAATATCCAAAAGGGTGAACGAGGATCTCTCTAAAGAGTAAACAAGGATCTCTATATAATCAGTAAAATTACTATCATGCGCTTTACAGCACATGGACAATAGTATTCCTACAGTGACAGTTTTATACATATTCCGTCTTTGCGTATTGCAGAGTTATCTTCTCTTTGGAGCAGGTATTGAGTGTTATGTCACTTGTTTGGGAGAATAACGTCATCAATTTTTGAGAAAACGACGTAATTTTCTCACACAGACCAATGACGTAATACTCAATACCTGCTCCCAAGAGAAAATAACTCTGCAATACGCAAAGACGGAATAGTAGATTATAAAGGGCATACAAATCAGCGTTATACGTAGGTAAACAAGACATTTATCTCAATGTGCATATTTTTTTTATTATATAGTGTGTACATGACGTCTGCTCAAAAGAGCCTCGTTACAAAATAGGTCTCTATATCCTTCTCGGAACGTAATAAAACACAAATAGGCAAGTACATAGTTGACCTTGTACATAGACTACATGTAAGTGCATCAAGGTCGAATTGTGCAAGATATTAACTGACCGAAAGCGTTGACTCAGCGATACAGGTACATCTCAGTGGTGGAGTCCTTGTCGGAAGTCATTAACAGGGCAATGGGGTAATACATAACCAGGTCACGTACAACTCAGAAAGTGAAAGTACCCAGACGGAACATTAGGGATGATTTAGGGGCTTTCATAGCTAAAACTGGTAAGACAGGCATTCCACTCAACCGTAAACAGCAGATGAGAGGGGACGATCAGAAGATTTATGTGTAGACGATCAGAAGTTTTATGTGTAGACGATCAGAAGGTTTATGTGTAGACGATCAGAAGGTGTATGTGTAGTCGATCAGAAGATTTATTTGTAGACGATCAGAAGGTTTATGTGTAGACGTATGTGTAGACGACCAGAAGATTTATGTGTAGACGACCAGAAGGTTTATGTGTAGACGATCAGAAGGTTTATGTGTAGAGGTATGTGAAGACGACCAGAAGGTTTATGTGTAGACGATCAGAAGGTTTATGTGGAGACGATCAGAAGTTTTATGTGTAGACGATCAGAAAGTTTATGTGTAGACGATCAGAAAGTTTATGTGTAGACGATCAGAATGTGTATGTGTAGACGATCAGAAAGTTTATGTGTAGACGATCAGAAGGATTATGTGTAGACGATCAGAATGTTTATGTGTAGAGGATCAGAAGGTTTATGTGTAGCCGATAAGAAGGTTTATGTGTAGAGGAATGGGAGGACAACCAGAAGGTTTATGTGTAGTTGAACAGAAGGTTTATGTGTAGACGCTACGAAGGTTTATGTGTAGTCGGTCAGAAGGTTTATGTGTAGACGTATGTGTAGACGACCAGAAGGTTTATGTGTAGTCGATCATAAGGTTTATGTGTAGAGGTATGTGTAGACGATCAGAAGGCTTATGTGTAGACGATCAGAAAGTTTATGTGTAGACGATCAGAAGGTTTATGTGTAGTCGATCAGAAGGTTTATGTGTAGAGGTATGTGTAGACAACCAGAAGGTTTATGTGTAGTCGATCAGAAGGTTTATGTGTAGAGGTATGTGTAGACAACCAGAAGGTTTATGTGTGGACGATCAGAAGGGTTATGTGTAGACAATCAGAAGGTTTATGTGAAGTCGATCAGAAGGTTTATTTTTAGACGATCAGAAGGTGGATGTATAGACGATCAGAAGGTTGATGTGTAGACGATCAGAGGGTTTATGTGTAGTCGATCAGAAGGTTTATGTGAAGTCGATCAGAAGGTTTATTTTTAGACGATCAGAAGGTTGATGAGTAGACGATCAGATGGTTTATGTGTAGAGGTATGTGTAGACAACCAGAAGGTTTATGTGTAGACGATCAGAAGGTTTATGTGTAGACGATCAGAAGGTGTATGTATAGACGATCAGAAGGTTTATGTGTAGTCGATCAGAAGGTTTATTTGTAGACGATCAGAAGGTGTATATATAGACGATCAGAAGGTTTATGTGTAGACGATCAGAAGGTTTATGTGTAGACGATCAGAAGTTTTATGTGTAGACGATCAGAAGGTTTATGTGTAGACGATCAGAAGGTTTATGTATAGACGATCAGAAGGTATATGTGTAGACGATCAGAAGGTTTATGTGTAGACGATCAGAAGGTTGATGTGTAGACGATCAGAAGGTTTATGTGTAGACGATCAGAAGGTGTATATGTAGTCGATCAGAAGGTGTATGTGTAGTCGATCAGATGGTTTATATGTAGACGAACTTGAGTAGGTTGATCGTCGGTGACCGAGTAGTTTGATTTAGTAGAAGTCGGGGTCCCGGATTCGTAATCCAGTCTGGCTGTTACATTTACCTAGTGCTGCCTAATGTATGCATATGTTTGTGACGTCATGACTTCATTCTGTTATGACAGAACAGGCTCATACTTTAAAATAAAAGAAACATCCTTCACGTTAAAATATAAAGAAGCACAATAGTTCCAACACTTTTTTCCACAAAATGCAACATGACACATCATCGTATACACAGTATATTAGGACACAGTATCGTATACACAGTATATTAGGACACATCATCGTATACACAGTATATTAGGACACAGCATCGTATACACAGTATATTAGGACACAGCATCGTATAACAGTATATTAGGACAAAGCATCGTATACACAGTGTATTATGACACAGTATCGAATACACAGTATATTAGGACACAGCATCGTATACACAGTATATTAGGACACAGCATCGTATACACAGTATATTAGGACACAGCATCGTATACACAGTATATTAGGACACAGCATCGTATACACAGTATATTAGGACACAGCATCGTATACACAGTATATTAGGACACAGCATCGTATACACAGTATATTAGGACACAGCATCGTATACACAGTATATTAGGACACAGCATCGTATACACAGTATATTAGGACACAGCATCGTATACACAGTATATTAGGACACAGCATCGTATACACAGTATATTAGGACACAGCATCGTATACACAGTATATTAGGACACAGCATCGTATACACAGTATATTAGGACACAGCATCGTATACACAGTATATTAGGACACAGCATCGTATACACAGTATATTAGGACACAGCATCGTATACACAGTATATTAGGACACAGCATCGTATACACAGTATATTAGGACACAGCATCGTATACACAGTATATTAGGACACAGCATCGTATAACAGTATATTAGGACAAAGCATCGTATACACAGTATATTAGGACACAGCATCGTATACACAGTATATTATAACACAGCATCGTATACACAGTATATTAGGACACAGCATCGTATAACAGTATATTAGGACAAAGCATCGTATACACAGTATATTAGGACACAGCATCGTATACACAGTATATTATAACACAGCATCGTATACACAGTATATTAGGAAATAACATATCGGTCTTAGGGAACTGCAGATGATGTGTCTCGCCAAAGACTTGAGGAAGAAAAGAGATGGTCAACTTCTTTGATATAAATACGATATGACATTGTACATTGCATGAGATTGTGAATACGTACTACTTTTACAACGTTCTTGGGCACACGTATACTGCAGGCTAAGATACTGTCATAACAAACACGTTAAAACCCAGGGCGTATCATGTTTGTATTCGTACACACCGATAAAGTTATTTTCCATGATGAACTCTTCAATTAAAAGGTAAAATATGTTTAAATATCAAAGTGAGTGGTGATCACCCTAAGTGCCATTAAATACCGCTTCCTGTATATCGGTGTTAGCTATAAACCACACACTCCAACACACAGTGTTAGCTATAAAACATACACTCCAACACACAGTGTTAGCTATAACCCACACACTCCAACACACAGTGTTAGCTATAAACCACACACTCCAACACACAGTGTTAGCTATAACCCACAAACTCCAACACACAGTGTTAGCTATAAACCACACACACTCCAACACACAGTGTTAGCTATAAACCACACACTCCAAGACACAGTGTTAGCTATAAACCATACAATCCAACACACAGAGTTAGCTATTAGCCACACTCCAACACACAGTGTGGTTAATAGCTAACTCTGTGTGTTGAAGGGGGGGGTTTATAGCGAACACTGTGTGTTGGAGTGTGTTGTTTATCGCTAACAC